CAACTTTAAGATGGGTGGACTTCAACTCCCCGAATTCTGGGAGTTGAAGTCCACCCATCTTAAAGTTGCTAAGGTTGAAGAACCCTGCTCTAAAGGAATCCCTCCTGTCAGTAAAGAAGAAACATTGCAATTTCATAACTCTTATAGAAACCCTCTGGGTTGGCTGGACAAAAAGAATCTTTCCTGGCTGGGTATCCTACTTCAGTCAATGGCATTTTACTGTGGGCAATAGCACTGGGTGAAGCATTACTCCAGCTGGGAAGAGTCTTGAATCCTTTAATTCAAAATTGTTTTAATTCCTTCAACAAAGTAATTCCTCTTAGATTGCCTCTTTCTGTACAAATAAATGTTTGAATAGGAAGACTGAAAAGGTTTAAAATTATATCTGTTTGGGATTACAAATGCATTTATATATAATCCTAAACTATGCACTTTTTTTTCCTTTTTGCTTTTGTATAGCTTATTTCCTGGATGTTTTCCTTTTCTTTGGGGTTCTCATGGGTTGTTGTTCTTTTGTTTTTAATGTTCAGTGTTTTGTTGATTGCTGCAAGTTAATAAAAAGCTCTTGCCTGTTCTAAAGTAGCTGTGCATAGTCCTACAAAGTGTAAATTCCATGCATGCTGGCATGAAAACATTTCCATTTGGAACAGACACATGATGCTATTAGCTAGCCAAATGGCCCTTGGCCCATTCTAGATTCATTTTTAAAAAACGCTCTTTTAATTAAAAAAAAAAAAAGATTGGAAGCCAGTGTGCCACAAAATAAAAACACCAACCTCCACTGTCATCCTTATTTGAGGACTGCATCTATCCCCATCTGGGCCCTGTAGAAAATAAATATGCCAGGATATACCCAGGGCTTTGGGTAAATGCCCAGAAAAAGAGACCAAAAAAAGCTGGAGTGGTAGAAAGCATCTTGGGGGGATTCAAGCAGGTGGCAAGGAGCATCTTCACCAGCTTGCCTTCTGACAGCCATTTTGTGTCCCCAACATGCCAAATGCCAAATATGTGCACTGGCCCAAAAGGGTGCTTTAAATCCTTTCAGTAGCGCCTTCCTTCCTCTTCAGTAAAATCAGAATGACTCTGATGCAAGGGAGATACGTTCTCACTGGCTTTGCACATTTAGGGCATTGCTGTCCATCTAATTATAGCAATGGAACTTTCCCCATAGATGAAAGCTGCAGTCTGGAAGTAATTCATTCCGTCTTTGTCGGTGAAGATCACAGTGCTGGATCTTGGAGAGGACAAAACAGCTCCTGGGAGAGAGGCGCCGATGGTGAATGTGGGACACTGCCCTGAAACAAGTAAGTTCATTCACAGTTTGTGGTTTATTTTGGTAGGTTACATACATACCCAGCATACTGTTCCCATTCAGGGTAAGCAATGTTATGTCAAGCACAGAAAAGGAATAAAACTTGGTAAGCCAAAGAAATGAACAGCATTAGTTAAGAAAAGGAAAAGGAAACATAGCTAAAATTACTTTACACCAACGCTCTTCAGGATACCTCTCCATTCTTTTCTAGCCTTGTAAACTATCCTTGCTTTCACCATGTACTTCCACCATACACTTCTTCACACATTGTCTTTTCTTCTTTGAATTTCCCCCCTGTGTTTCAGGATCTCATCCATCCAGCTACAACTTTCTCAGTTTTCCCTTTCTTCTTCACCTATGTGGTCTTCCTTCAAATATGTGTTTTGTGACTTGATCCTCTAAATGGCCAAACCATCTCAAAGCACTGCTTTGCACTCACTTTTGTATTCAATCCATAGTCACTCAGTGCCTATTTCCTCTTGACCCTATTGCCTGTTGTTCTACCACACCCACTTCTTAAGTACTCCATTCCTAGTGCATTGAACTTTTATGTTTGCCCTGACGTACTTCTCATTTCTACGTAACAAAGGGGGCAGAAGCACATTCTTATAGACAGCTGTTCTTGCTTCTTTCAACAAACATATATTTTTCACAATAGACCCCATGCTACCCATTGCTTTTCAGCATTTGTGTGTTTTAAAATTTCTCTATCCATTTGTCCACCTGTATTTAACAGTGTACCAAGGCATGAAAATGCATCAACATGTTCTAGTTTTTCACTATTTCTGTATAGCTTTACAAAAATTTCCCAGTCAAGCACAACTACCTTAGTCCTTGATACGTTTTCAAACCCATACCCTTTGTTGCATCATGAAAATGTGTAACATTTACTGCAAATCATTCAGGTTCTCAGTTGTTAGCACAGCATTGGCTGCATACAAAGAATACATGTACAGTCATGTTCCCACCCAACAAAATTCTACTATTCCCATAAGCATTTCTTAAACCTTTACCCATAAGCATATTAAACCATCAGGAAGCATCACACATCATTGCCTAACTTCCTACACAGTGCTGAACAGCTTGCTAAGCATTCCATTTATTCTCAACATGCTTTATTTCCATCATATGTTACTCTTACCCCATTCAGTAACCCAACTTTCAAGCACAAAAGATTCCATAATTCAAACCTGTTCACTTTTATCATACACTTTTTTTTTAATTGACAAACATGCAATGAACTCCCTTTCATTTTGGGAGGCTTGCATGTGAGAAATGCCTTGTTATGGACCCACCATGTAAAAGCACTAAAACAGGAGCCAGAGCATAATAGGGACTTGTCAATTTTGATGAGTGTCTTTGTGAAAAGCAGGCTGTGTGCTTTCCATTATCCATGTCATTTCTGTTATTTATTAAATGTATTATATTACTGACTGCTGATATAGTGGAGGAGTAGCCAACAGAAAAAGAATAATACACAAACTTGAAACTGGTGGGATTAAAAAGATCAATTAAAAGCAACAGTTAAAAGGATATGTGGAGTCCTTGGTGCTCTCTGAGCTTGGTGCTCTCAGTTCAACCCTGAGCTACATATATTCTATTGAAAAGGATATGTTTTTAAGAGGTTTCTAAAAGCCACCTAGGAAGACCTTTGATGTGGTATTGAGTACATTCCAGAGAACTGGGAGAACAGCACAGAAGGGTTGATACTGAGCTTCATGAGATAAACTTCCGGCAGTTGACAGTAAATCTCTTGAGTTGATCTCAAAGGTTGGGGTGGGGATGAGATAGAAAGAGGCATTCTCTTGAGGGACCTGGACATAACCTGTACAGAACTTTAAAGGTCATCACCAACATTTGTATTTCACCTCTGAGCAATTGGGAGCCAGTGAAGTGCTTTCAGCACACACGTAAGGTTGTGTCTCGCCAGCAGATCAAGTTGAGAGAGAGCAGCTATTACATTCTTGCACTGATCCTCTGTGACTGCTGCTCTGGAGGTTATATGACAGTTCACTTTCAAAGAAGGGGAGGACTCATTTTATGATTGCTCTGTAGATCTTTATGTTCATTTCCTATTACATTTGGGGATCAAATTAGTTACTGAAAGCGAATAAATCATCCCCACTCAATTAATTGAGATTTGATCCATAGTTGGTATTAACTCATCAATCTTTATTCTTTAGAGGCTGTCCTGGCATTTGGGTGGCCAGAGTTAGCTTGAGCTCTTTTATTTTTCCCCATCAAGACTCTTTAGAACTAAGCTTCCTAGGAGTAAATGTCTAAAAACTCATTCTAAAAAAATGGGATGAAGTAAAATGAAATAGATACAATAAAAGGGAATAAAGTTGATAGAGGAGAATAGCCAATCCCATTATTTTAGGATTGTTCACTGCCCAGAGTCAGCTGTCGAAATGGGTGGTCATACAAATGAAATAAGTAAGTAAGTAAGTATATTGTAAAAACCACCAGATTAAAAAAAAAAAAATAGGGTGGAAGAGCAGAGATCTACAGCTCCAGTGCCATCATGGAAAAAAAACAAAAACAAATCAAAACTTTGAATTCAGAGGCCTCCTCAAACTGGGAAACTGGGCAAGTGGAGCACCACTTAGAATAGAGAGGTCTACCAACTCTTTGGATCTGTGACTCCTTCAAGAAAAGTCTTTCTGATTTGGATTCATTTTTGGCAGTTGGATCACTTTTGGCAAGAACTAAGTACAGTTTTGCTTCCACAGTAATATTGTCTCCAATGCCATGCTTTAATTCTCTCTACCCCCACCCCTCTTTGTTTAGTTAACTTTATTGTTTCAATTTATACACTGCACTTCTATCTGTCTGGCACTCAAGGCAGTTAGCTGTAAAAATAAAATATGACATGATTAGAATACAGGATTTAAACAAAAGGTTTAATCTTTATTAATCAGACTCTTAAGGGCCTGGCTAAAAAGGAAGGTCTGTCTGAAGGCGGAAAGAATTGAAACCAAATGCATTCCCAGGCTTGGGAGTAGCATAGGAGAAGTCTGTGTCCCTGAGCCTCACAAATAGGCCTTTGAAACCCTGAGAGTCCTAAGAACATGCAAAGCGAGTTATGAGTCAGAAAGGGCATCTTCTCCTGTGAGTCCTGGCTCCCAGATTGATTTATTCAGAGATAGATAGGTGCTCCCTTTGATAATCAGGCTTAAGCCCTTTAAGGCTCTGAAGACTAAAACCACTGCCTTGTGTTACATTCAGAAAGTGATCAACTATTAGCACAGATCCTTCCCTAAGGGTACAGTGTGGTCCTGGGTTGCAAAGAATTGGTAGAAAGAGATGTACTTGAAGTCACGGTTGGGATAGACGATCAATCTGCACTGGTGAGCTCCACTGTTTGGAATGTGGGTCATATTTGCCCCCTACAAACTGTAGCTCCAGTTACAGCATCTTTACTTTGCCCCTTAGGGTCCTGCGGCAAAATGTTGCTGTCCATTCTTGTCCTTCATTCTCCCAGGTTTTGGGCCAACCACCCCAAAACTTCTTTCCCTGCTGCAGTTTTCAATTTGGTTTTCCAGTCAATTGTCAACAACTGAACTTGTTGGTCTCTTTATGCTTCTGGGGTCAATCTGTCTTTTAAAACAAACCTCCTGAGAATGCCTTCTGTTTTCTAATTTTTGCTTCACTTCATTGGCACCTACCTCCCAAATTTGTTCCTAGAAGGAGTGATGGAAACAATCAAGGACTTACTAGCTGTTGTTATTGCCATTTCTGACATGCTTTTAGTTCATCCTTCTCCAGCTTGATGTTCTCCATGTGTGTTGGAGTATGATGTATTTCTGAAGGACACCAGGTTGGGAAAAGATGAGTGACAATGTCCTGGACTTTTATTACTCACCTAATAAGATCAAGGCATGTCCTGTGAAAGATGGATAAATCAAGGAAAGAACAGAAACACTGAGGAATCTGGTGGGAATGGAATTTTATCTGGTTGGATAAAATAAGCAAAAAATTGGAGTAGAGGAAATCTGCTTTCAATAAACTAGAAATTTTTATCAAATGGACAGAAATGATAAGTACAAATATACATTAGGTTGAAGGTAGCTGCAAGAATTAAGGTGGCATCTATCCAGAAACCCCTATGATAAAGATAGGAAAGTGCCAAAAGTAGAGAATTGACTCTTCAAACTATATATATATATATAGACTAACAGACAAAAACAGGGGAAGTATTTTAAAAGAAACCAGATTTATTACAGAGGGAAAAAAACACTAAGTAAGAAAAAGCAAAGCTGAACAGATGTGTGTTTGCTGAACAAAACTCAGAAGCCGAAGAAAAATGCAGGAATGCTCTTAGCTTGACAGCATTGCTGGATCTTCTATTCAAACCAAAAAAAGAGAGAGGATTTTTAGAGTGTCGAATACGTGATCAATCTGCCTGTACCAAAATCAGTACATGCTGGTTGATGTTGCAAAGCCACATCTGAAATACTCACGAAAATACATAGTTCATTCTGTTAACACGCTGTCAGTGCTAGAGAGGCCACCATCCTCTTCTGGAGTATAATAAATTCTCATGTGTGTTCAAGGAATTTGGGATAGGATAACAAGAATATGCTCAGGGAGCTAATCTTACCCATGCAAGGCTCCTTGGCAGCCACAAGGATAAGCTAGGAAAAGTTTTAGCTGCAGAAATCTCATAACTTGATCCTGAATCTGGGTTGGCTTACAGCAGCTTTCCTCACTGGATACTTTTCAGACTGGTTTTATCTGTGAGATTTGTAGCCCAGTAGCTCAAGGCAGCGTCTCTTCTCTTCTCTTCTCTTCTCTTCTCTTCTCTTCTCTTCTCTTCTCTTCTCTTCTC